CCCCCCCCCCGCTTCTGTATGGTCGAAGTGATGCCGCATTGTAATGATGAGTACACGCGCTCCCCACCCCCCCCCATCCGCGCCCAAGCGTGATTATGCACGTTGCAAGCCCGGGACTCCCCGAAGCGGCGCTCCGCCACCTCTTCTTCCAAGCGGCCACAACAGGCGCGCCATGGCCATCTTCCTTGTCGGCTGCTCGGGCGGGAGAAGACGGAGGGGGGCAAACCACGCCTCCCGCCATCACTACCACCCCCCCCCTCACCCGACAGCGCACAAGCAATAACCATAACAAAGCTGGTAGAAGTGAAAGCTTCCACCAGAGTGGTAAGGGTGGCGGTGGTGGCAGTGGAGACGGGGAAACCACATCCGCGTCCGGTCTGGCGCGAGCCATCGTGGGCTTTCCGCTGGCGTGCGAGGGGCTGGCGCCCTTGGTCGCGTCCACGGCCACGGAGCTCAGTGCGCGGAGCCTGCTTAAGCAGGTCGCGCATCAGGCCAAGGAGGCCCTCGAAGAGACCGAGAAGGTGCGGCAACGGTGCAGCCTATCGACTTGTCGCTTGAGACGGACTGCGTACTGTACCTACGTCGTAGATATCAGTGATGTTTCGCCCCTCCAACACGTACGCCACCCCGGTGGGTGCTGACTGCGGATGGATATATCTCTACGTCAGCTGCCTGTTTTATCCACCCCCACCTCCGCCCCCCCCGGTGTTTGCCATCGGGGTTGGGTTTTCGTCGCTTGGCAACGACCGTTGTAAAACAAGCCGCCCCCCCCGGTGTTTGCCATCGGGAATGGGTCTTCGTCGCTTGGCACAGACGTTGTAAAACGAGCCAATTCACTTCGTGAACTCGGCAACCAGGTTACCGTTTTTTTTTTTTTTCCTCCGTTTTTTTTTTTTTTGGCGGTAACCATAATGGTGGTCGAGTAGATCATGTTGTGCGGGGTGGAGAACCCTCACTCCGCGCAAGGGGGATGATCGCACCACGTTGTGTTAAAATGGTCAAGCACCCTCGAGGCAGTTACACAGTGCTTACAACTGTCTCTGGAAGTGAAAGCACCAGAAAATAAATTAATTCATACGCAGCTGTCATCCGTACGCAAGGAAGTAAGCACAAGATGCCGAACACCCTTAGCAGGATGCAGCGCACCCTTCATGCGACTCGCCGAATATCTCACGGCGCTTCGCGCTTGGTGATGTGAGAGCCTGGTCCGGTGAGAACCCGGCGTGCTCCGTCCCGGCTTTGTAGGGATGCGAGGTCAATGGTCTAACGACTACGGCATGCACGACTATGAGTACACCCCCCACCTCCACTAACCTAAGGTTAATGCCTAC